TCTCCCTCCCTCTCTCTCTCTCAATCTCTATCTCTATCTCTATATATCTATCTATCTATCTATTTATATCTATCTCTCTGTCTCCCTCTATATTTATCTTTCTTTCTTTCTCTCTCCTCTTCTCCGTCTTTCTCTGTCTTTCTTTCCCACATACTCTGTTCAGATTAACAGTGGCGCTCATGTGACCTTAAGCAGCTGCGAGCGTCGTAAAACTTTACAAAAACAAGCAATAGATGAACATGAAGAATCAATCTTAACAGAATGAATAACTGCGCGTTCACACTAGAAAATGTCGGTCGTCTGAAGTTCAGATTCAACACGGATGCCTAAACAAAACAAAAAAAACTTAGTTTGTATCGTGACTTAAACAAAGGACGGAGAAGGCAAGTAAAAGAAGATATTTGCTTTATCCTATTTGTTCCCACCATCATTTGCTTTATGAATTTCACCAACTATTCTCACAAATAATTGTGGGTGTAGAAAAATGTGTGGCATAGAGAGGCCAGAGATTCTCCACAGTTTTCCTGATTTGGTATCACCAAACTTTCATTTTCGACCAACCCATTACAGCAAACCTTTTTCTGCCCAACAAGAATTATTGATAACTTTTTTTTATAATGCAGGAGTTTTTACACCCCCATCGACACAATTCAAATCATTATGGATGATAGCTATAAGGTATGGCATATATAAGACCTGAACACGTTTATTGTAAAATCTTACACGCTACACATTTGTTGGTGGTGTAATGTTACCGCCGCGATAAAACGGAAATGACGAATTGGCGACCAAAAAAACCCCCCATCAACGCCAGGCTGCAGTCTGTTGTCAACACAATGCAGAAACGTAGTAACATTCTGCGCTTTTGTTTGTCCGGTCAGCCTTTAGTCCGATACTTCTGGTGTGAACGCGCTCTAACACTTTTCTTTAAAGGTAAAGACGGCTTCTTCTTTGTATTTTAACCTTTCTATGCATTTGAAACAGGAAAAGTCTTTCAAAGATCAAAAACATGCGCTGTATCCGTAGAGAAGGCATCGTGTAAAAAGTACCCAATTTGCGCCTTCAATCATTCATCCTTACAAGTAAAGGTTTGAATCTATCACTTCCATGTTGAATAAGATCTAAGTCACAATGTCTAATAATAATATCATTGTCTGAAATTCAATTCTGTCAGCAGGAGTTAAAAGAAAAATCCTGTCGTATACCAATATCTTTTCCAGCCTTCAAACATCAGGTTCCGATCACGTGACAACAGTTCAATGACCCTCACTGACTTTGGTTTCTCTCGGAAACTTCCTCTGAGTTCCGACCTCTGCTTCAACTTCGGCACACCTGACTTCTGCTCACCTGAGGCGGTTGACAACGAGGCAGTGACCTCAGCATCTGACGTTTGGGCCGTGGGTGTTATTGCTCACCTGCTGTGAGTCATATTGTGAAATGTCCTAATTTGTCTTTGTTCATGTGGCATCGTGGTGAAATCAGGCGCTCGTCAGAATACAGAGATCAAAGGCACCAGCATTTTCCCCATCCTCAGGGCAATATTTATAAATGTTTTTGTTTTTCGGCTCAACTCCTTATATGTTCTTTTAAAAAACATTTCTATATGAATTTAACAGAAAAATGTTGATAAAAGCCCCCAAAAACGTAAGTTTGTGCAGTTTTCGACGACACTGCAGCTTTGGAAGTCGTAAAATGTTGGCGGTCATTTTATCGTTGATTTTGTTAACATTTAACACCAAGCGACCCCCATCTCATTCAACAGAAAATATATCGACTTCTAATCAAGATAGATGGGTATTATTTAACCCAAAAACGAGACAGATGAACAAGCTTAAAGATTAAATCAGTAACTCCATAAGCCCCAAAATTGATGAACCCCGGATTCCTCCATGTCATGGTATCATTGTTTGCAATTCCAACTGCCTAATTACGGACATCTTCTTGTTTCCTCACCTACACACATTCCTGTCTGACACACTTCTCGTCAAATTTTCTTGCTATTCATCAGCATAAATGAATGGAGCAAGACATTTGAGAATATCAGAAAAAAATGAGGTGTAGATGTATTATTCGTTTATACGTGACAGCAATGTAAACCCTAAGATAATGTTTGTCTCCAGTGGTATGGAAATCGTCTAATGAAATTTCTGTTGAAGGACGTTACGGTGACGTAATTTATGAAGTCCCTGACCAAGGATGCAATTTTGATACTTTTGACAACAGGTCTACTGAGTAGTTTTAAGGGAAATTTTTGCTGGGCACGGTATTATAATCGTTCTGAGATCATGCTACCACCATGGAAACTAGAAATAATAGTTAGAAAACTAAGACGAAAATAGTAATAACAATAACAAAAATAATTATAATAATAATGATAAAACTAATAAAAATAAAAATAATAATAATAATAATAATAATAATAATAATAATAATAATAATAATAATAATAATAATAATAATAATAATAATAATAATGATAATACACTGACCACAGACCAGTCATCATGACTATCGACACACCATACAGGAAAAGGCCAGAGGCAAGGAACAACGAGAAGTCGTCGTGAATCTCAGAAATATAAATGACGATAACAAAGATCAGATACCTGAACATAATATTATTATGAAAAATGTATTTCACAAATTGCCCAAACAACCTGGAGACTTTGAAGAGGGATGGAGCCACTTCAAAGCATGTGAGCACAAACCGTTAAATGAAGAGTGCGACACCAGGAAAACAGGAGGGCAGAAAAGGAAACCAACTATATGGTGGAATGACCAAGTAAAGGAAGCCATCTAACTGAAGAAAAAGGCATTCAAAAAGTGACAGAAATCAAAGACAGAGGAAGATTACATCCTATACAGAAAGGAATGCCGCCAAACAACAAGAGTAGAAAAAGAAGCTAAGATCAGATCATGGACAGTATATAGAGAACAGCTGGCAACAAAATGTAAAGAAGCCCGCGTGAGTTTTACAAGAGTGTTAAAAGCATGAGGATGCGGGAAGAACCATTCAACCCAACTGAAATAGTCAATAAAAAGAACGGAAATCCTATTTTCAGGAACCCAAAGATTAAAGAAAGATGGAGACGCCATTTCCAAGAGCTGCTGAATCCTACAGGAGAAACAACACAAAACAGCTTCTCACCAAAAGAAACCACTCAAGAACCATCAATACTAGTGAATGAAACGCAACATCTTAGAAAAAAAAGTGCCACAAACAAAAGGCCAGGCGTTGATAACATCACAACAGAAGAGATAAAGCTATGTGGCCATATCGGTGAACTCTGGCTATGGAAGATATTTAATCTGGCCTGGGCGACAAAAACAACACCCGATGACTGGCAACGAACTGCCATTGTACCCATTTGGAAAAACAAAGGTAACAATTAAAGAGACTGTGAGACCTCCAGAGGAATATCCCTTCTCAGCCATGTAAGCTAAATGTTTGCCAAGATACTGGAAATAAGAATGAGACCGATTGTAGAAAAGGCAGGGGCTGTACAGACGCTATTTTTGCATTAAGACTCTTGTGTGAGACTGCCATTGCACATGACAAAGACCTCAATATCGTCTTCGTGGATCAGGAAAAGGCGTTTGCCCGGGTAGATAGATGTCAACTTTGAGAAGTCTTAGAGGAATATGGTGTAAGAGAACAATTGCTGGAGAACATCACGGCACTTTATAAGAACAGCCTGTGTGCGTAAGATGAACAGAAGGACTATCGGACTGGTTCCCCATCAGGTCTGGGGTGAGACAAGGATGTGTTCTCTCTCCGTTTCTCTTCTTCGCTTAGATGGATAAGATCACGAAAGCAGTAAATGACAACATCACTTAAATGAACAAGTTTCTATTTGTTGATGGCCAGAGTATATTGAATACTGATGAAGAGGAATTACAAAAACACACCACAGAACTAAATGAGGAATGTAAACACCTGAACATGAAAATCTCCACTTCAAAAACAGAAGTTATGAAGGTCAGCACAAACCCAGGGAAACTCAACATTCTTATTTATGGAAGACAGCTCCAACAAGTGGAGGAATATAAATATTTGGGAAGCATCTTCACACAAGATGGGCGTATGGACAAAGAAATAGACACAAGAACTATGAAGGCAAATGCAGTAACCTACCAGCTAGCACCCCAGCTCAGTCACAAGAACATCCCAACCGAAGTGAAATCCCAGCTCAACAACGGTATCTTCATACCAATATTAACATACCAGTGCCCAACATGGTCTCTAAACAAGGTACAAGAAAGAAAAATCAATGCATGCGAAATGAGGTGTCTCCGCAAAACCATCAACGTCACCAGAAGAGATCGCATATGAAACTGGAATGCCACCAGTAATAAAAATTCATAGATCGTCAAAAAGTCAGATGGTTTAGACATCTACCCAGAATTCCCCAGAAACAACTAGCGGCTAGAGTTTACAACACCCGAGACTCCGGCTTCACATCAAGAGGAAGACCAAGAAAGACCAGGCTGGATAGGGGTTAAAAATGCCCTTGAACAACATGACATATCTATCAAAGACACTACACATCTAGCACGGGACCGAAACTTGCACCTCCCCTCGACATCCTAAGGATACGAGAGGAATATTAAAGTAAAAGTGCAGTATAATAAGAGTAATAATAGTAATAATAGTAATAATAATAATAATAATAATAATAATAATAATGATAATAATAATAATAATAGTACAATTAATACCGTTTAGATAAAAAGACGTTAAGCGCTTTACAATGTATATTACCACATCATTTTGAATTTAACACTGAAAATTTCATCATCTTTTCTCTGCAGACTGACCGGTGTTACGCCCTTCTCCGCGGACACCGTCCCGGAGACCCTGCACAGAGTTCAGACCTGCAACTGGACGCCAAACTCTTCGCTGTTCTCTGGCGTTTCTCCGACGGCGTTGGACTTCATCTCGAAGATCCTCGTCAGAGATCCAGAGTGAGTGATCACAGAGAGACTACATTGCTACCTTAGAATTGCAACGTTCTATCTGCTGAGTACCTAGTTTTGAGAAATTTCACGTTTGAAAAAAGTGTGCGTTTCGCAACATGTCAAGCTTTTTCGCATCTAATTCTTTGAATATCTTGGTAACGACTCCGAATAATTTAACAATTTTGACGGAGCAGATGGAATATTTGGTTTCTGACCTCATTGTCGTAGTAACTGAAATGGCCAAAAATGTCAGATAGAAAATTGTAATTCTAGGGTAGAGACATGTGTACAATCGAAACTGCCCAAGACGGCCAACCATAGTAGAAGAATACAGGTGTTGTCTTGTGGACGTCTTAGACAATGTCATTATTTTATTTTTTAAGAAATAAAAACAAAGGGGGCGTGGGAGTGAAAGTGGTCGTTTGTACAGGTGGCCTTTTCAGCAGGTCTGAGTGTGTATTGTGTCGATGGAGGCATAAAAATGTTCAGTCTTTCAGTGCTATCTATCAGAGCTTTCAAAAAGAGCAAATATCCGGTTAACGTATCTTCCATAACAAAATACCAGAGCCAAATCAGTAGGAAAATGTTCTGTCTTAATTTTAAAAGAAACCTCGCAACAGAGCTATGATTACTGAAATGACAAAGCAAAAGCATGAACACAACAGTAACTACAAGACAAACAGCGATAATAAAGACAATAATAGCAACAACACAATTTACAGCGTCAGGCCATCTAATGAACCTCCCCCCCCCCAACCTATACACCACCACAATCAGCATCATCAGCTTGACAATAATCCCAGTTGTTCATTTGTGCCATGGGTTCTCGCACTTTATTTCACCGCTTAACCCCACCCTCCCCAAAGAAAACAATAACCAACAATAAATCTGAATGCCAAGTTGAACTCGACAAGATTACTTTGTCAAACGCTGTACTATATTTCGTAAAACGAACTCCTCATCTAAAGTGGCTACGAATCCATCCTTTTTCACAGGGCCCGTCTGTCAGCTGACGCTTGTCTGGCTCATGATTGGCTGGCCAGTGTAGCTGACAAGTCTGACTCCGCCCCCATAGACACCAAACCAATCAAGGCATTCCAAGACAAAAATGTCGCCCAGGTATTGAAGTAGCGTTTGGTAACCAATGTGTTATATTTATGTTTAGTTTATTTGTTCTCTGATTTCTAAAATTGTATGTGTGTATTTGTGTGTATTCATATTTAGGTCTCTATATTATCATTATATGAGTCAGTGTGTGTGCATGTATGTGTCTGTGTCCGTGTGAAAAAGTAAGCTTGTAAGTGAGTGAGATAGTGAGTGAGATAGTGAGTGAGATAGTGAATGAGATAGTGAGTGAGTGAGTAGGTATCAGAAGACAGAAGGACCGAATTGTAGTAACTGCGGAAACTCAGCGATCGATAAAGTGTCATACAGGTAGCAAGAGAGATAGAGATAGGGGGAGAAAGATAGAGGTAGGAGGGAAAAGAGACAAACGTGGACATACGTATAGCGCTGGTCTAGAGCAATAATGTTGTAACTCCAAAATCATCAATTTGAGAAATCTCGCTGTAAAGTTTCAGATCGGGTTGGGAAATCGGTTTTTACATCAAACCATCTTACTATCGATTCATCATGACATGATTAAGTATTTATTACGCTACCCTTTGTGTAATGATGCTATTTATGTGTAAAAATGACGTTTTAGACAGATTTAGGGAATATGCAACTATTTTGCGGAATGCCGGCTGAGATACAACAATTTTGCACCTCAACTTTCTAGTCCTCTTGATGTTTTTGTTTTAAGATTTTTGGAATTATCTGGCATTTAACAGAGTTCTGAAAAGGACATCTATCAAATAACTCAATAATAATTGGAAAAACAATTACACGGAACACAGAGAGCAGCTTATTTAACGTACGACAATTTTGCACTCAATACATAATTGCATTGGGCGGATGCAATGGAGATACAACAATTTTGCTCTACAAGCTGTCTCCATTAAACTACATAAAACATGAAAAGAAGACACAACACAAAGTGATGAACGGGGCAAAAATGCTTGGATAATTATTGCAATGTATATAAATTGAACAAATCGAGGGACTCAAAAGGTGCAGATTTTACAAAAATTCAAAATTTACATTTTCTCAAATTCATATTAAACAAAATGATTATTATATAAAGAAAGACATGACGAGTGATCTAGATTTATTAGAGGAGGCTATACTGGATAGATGATTGTGAAAATATAGATCGATTTTTCATTTCAAGAAAAAGCAAGAAAACCATGTGACATATCACAATGGTGATGGATTCGTAGAAGGATACAACGATTTTGCATTTTGAAACTCAGCTTTATGATTCGAATTTGGGATTCACATTAATTTTGCTCAAAGAATGACTCTTTGTTGTTTTAAAGATAGTAACAACCCTATTTTCAACATTTTGGAGTTACAACATTATTGCTCTAGGCCAGCGATTTATGAACATACGCACACACGAAGGAGAGAGAGAAAGAGAGAGAGAGAGAGAGAGAGAGAGAGAGAGAGAGAGAGAGAAAGAGAGAAAGAGGAAGAGAG